TGTGTGTGTGTGTGTGTGTGTGTGTGTGTGTGTATATACACACAAGTTAGTTCTCAGTCAAATGTAACTGTATTTAAAAAAGAAACATTTGACTCTTTTCATTTCAATAATTTGATTGACATTTATTGCTTTGTATTACTGGAATCCTTTTGTACTTTGAAACATCGTCCATGTTTATCTGTCTACACTTCAGTTTTTGTTATAGTACCATTACCAGTTACGACCTGGGAAATAATGGTTCTGTTTCTATGCTCACTGCTGAGGTCTTTAATAATCAGGTTGTGTCTTATCGTCAGGATTCGGGAGAATGGCACCTTCTCTACTTTTAGCATTAAGCTTCAAACTTTCCTTTTTGCTAAAGCATATACTTAGGGCTGGATCAGGTGACCCTGAATCTTCAATGCTTCTGGGGGCTTCTGTGATGCACTGGATGTTTCTTCTTCACTCACCTTTTCCACTCACTGTATGTTTATACACCACTTGCATTTAATCATTTAGGAATGACTGCAAGTCTGTGACCGGTGGACTCAAAGGCAGGATAAATTAACAAAAAGTGAGCTATTTATTTGGCCAATAACTGGGTACAAAAGGCAAAACATGAAAGATAAATGAAACATCAAACACAAAACTTTAGCCAGACCCCTGGTGGGACAGCCAGTGGGACAGCCAGGGCGTTGTGTGTCGGCATCAAGGCAAGAGACCTTGGACAAAAGAGGACAGACAGTTGAACCCAGCATCGGAGCAAATACCCATTCCGGAGTGAAGCTGCAGGTCTCTGTCTGTCGATCTAGCTTCCACCATCGAGAGCCAAGCTTTCGAATGTGTGAAGCTGATGGCGGTGGCGGCAGAGAGCAGGCGTACTTGGTCATAAAATCAAGTACGCCTGACTCATAAAATCAGTTCCTTCTCTGGAGGTTGGAGTGAAGAAGAGACAGCCATAGAACATTGCAGTTGAGGTTTGTGTTGTATATCTTCTACGTCCATTGTTGCTCAGAGCGTACTGTCACAGGTGGACTACGACAAGTTAGAGGACCCAAACACAGATGTGCGGAGGGTATGAAAGGCAGAGGAAGAACAAAGGGTGACTCGGTCAATATATAGATTAGGGGTGATTAGGGAAGTGGAGACGGCT